CACATACAGAGAACAGTATCACATCTTATGACATTTTTTTTTTTTATCAGCCCATAATTCCAAGGTTCCATATAATTTGGAGGACGTTTGTTCAAACTGTTGTATGATTGTGCCTGGTTCATGGTGTGAAAGGATACACATTAAAATGGTTGACGATGCTCATCAAAATGGTTAATTTTTCAGCCCTACAGAGCTTAATATGAATGATTGTTGCATAAACTTTCTCTGAAGGAAAAGTTAATTTTATACTTCCAGAATGTACTTGCAACAGTGCCAGATACTATGGAATCAGTGCTTGCAGGTTCAGGAAATGCCTCATTTGCAAATGTGTGTTCTATGCAATTCTCTGAAGCAGATATCGAGGAATTTGAAAATGAACTCTTGCAGTGGAGCTACACCCGCTCTGCAAGACTGTTACATAAACTTTCTCTACAGGAAAAGTTTGTTTTACATTTCCAGAATTTAATTGCAACAGTGCCAGATAATATGCAATCAGTGCTTGCAGGGTCAGGGAATGTCACAAATGCAAATGTGTGTGACATATGCAATTCTTTAAAGCAGATCCCCTGAAATTTAAAATGATAACCCTTGCAATGGGGATACCCCCACAATGCAAGGGTTAACTGCTCATTTTGTCTAGGGAGCAAAACTAACAAAGATATACTCACCAAATCCTCAATCCCGTCTGGCTGCTAGACCGGTCCCTGCAGCCTCTCTTCTCCCCAAGCGGTGGTATGTCCCTCAGCGTCGTGACATTTAATACAGTGTATTAGACGTGAAGACATCATGGATCCTTAGACCACTGGAGTGTAGAAAGAGAGAGAGACTGCAGGAACCAGTCTAGCAGCCAAATGGATTCAAGGATTGGATGAGTATATCTTTATTATTTTTGCTCCCTAGACAAAACAAGCAGTTACTCCTTGCAATGGGGGGGTTGTCCCACTGCAAGGGTTAACTTTTCAAATTAGTAGTTCAGTTTAATGTTGTTCAGTGGAAGAATATAATATAAATGACAAAGAGGAATAAAGATTTGTTTAAAATGTCATGCTCCTTAAGAAAGCTGTGCTTAAGACAGTAATCCTTTTTGCCTGCACTTCCCAACCTAAAAAACCCCCCTTCCCCACGCCACATGCATGCATTGAGCAGCCTTCGCCTACAGGAGTTTTTAGAGCCTCTGTCTAAATTCTTCCTTTTCCCTGACCACAAGTATACAATCAAATCCAATAGACTTCTATAGAGCCATCCCCCGTGCATCTCCTGTAGCAATATATGGCCCCATATAAAAGGATTAGTTGTGCAGGCATCGCCAGGGGAAAGGAAGATTTTTCCCAGAGGATAAGACTTTTTCAGAACATGGCTATCTGATTCAAGTCATTTCGTATCTAGGGTTGGGTCAGGGAATCAAAAAGGATGCCTGTATTTCCCTAAAAGTACAGTTGTTCTTTAAGGGCTTGTTCACACCAAATGCAGAGCAGATCTTCATGAGTTTCTGCACACGCAGTGCAGTGGGTTTTGCCGCGTTTTTGATTTTTAAAATAATATTTTTTTAGTTTAAAATGGGCTTTCAGTGTGTTCCAGGGCGTTTGCATGCGTTTTTCGATGCATTTGCATGCGTTCCAGAGCAGGTAAAATAGGGCTTGCTGCAGTTTTTTTTTTACATGCTCTGGAACTGAACTCTGCGGTGTGAACTAGAGCCCAAAATACCATTGGAATACAATGGACGCAGTTTTGATGCGGTCTGTAACTGTTCTGCTCTGCTCCTGGAACGCGCTTGGTGTGAACAAGGCCTAACTAACTACAGCACTTAATCCTGCATACCCCTTTGAGATAAATATGAAATAAATAGTAAATACAATGAAACATTTTACACAGGAGCACCTGCATTTTGACAGCGGTTCCTGCTGTGTAATAGAGACACGGTAACAGTGGTGGGGGAGCAGCCCCAGGTACATAGTAGATCTG